GAAAATTTACACGTTTAAACTGTAGATTATGATAATGGTGCGATTCCCAAGTAACATGTAGGCGATGAAGACAGGTCCTTAATCTTATTCTTGTAATATTCTTTACAACATTTCTTGCACCTTGACAGGCTTAGGTCAAGAAATAGGTATTGGAATTATAAGGTACCTTGTATCAGAGCTAAGTTAGAAGTGTCAAAATCAACATGGGCGGCAGTTCTAAGCGGAATTCCCACTTCAGCCAGGGGAATGAACAACAATGATGCCAAATCCTACGACCGATCTGTATATCTCAAAGCAAAATATAATAATCATTAGCACATGTTTGTTTTTTTATAACCTCATCGCTTATTTTCGTGTTCGTTTGAGCGATCAAGAAATGGGCTTGGCGATAAATTTCGATGGCAGTAGTATTTTACAAAGAAATTGAAAGCAATCTGGACTATCAGCTTCAATGTAAGAGTAAAAGTCGATGTAAGAGAGCATCTCTATAAATGAGTATTGCATCTCTCTTCACATACGAGTGTTGTCAACTGTGTCGGCCATGGTCTTCAGATGCTTTAAGATAACGTTTTAAGTTTACGTTTGTTACCATCAAAACCTTACTTAATTTCTGAAATCTGTCTTCTACCTTAAATGTTTTAGGTAATACGGACTAATCCAATGTTTCAAGGGAATAGTCAGCTTGCAGATCAGGTGGGTAATTGCCTGGAGGCAGTGCCAGCGGCGTTCTCCACTGTATAATTTACTTTTTTATGCCAACCCTGAATACATGTAAGTGTTTTGGACTCTATCATAGCTGGAAAGGCAAATACCCAGTATCATTAATTTTCCAGGGATGTCTACCAACATACCACAATTCCTACCTGGACTTATCCTGGGCATTTAGTGTATATATGTTGTGGTTCAATTTTATCCTTGGTATAATTTTATTTTCCTTTCTTTTAAATTTTAAAGTAATCAACATACACCTATTTGCAATGAGGTTGTCATAGAAAAAAGCAAAAAGCAAAAAGCGAAAGGCAAAAAGCCAAATAGGAATTAATTAGCATTTAATTATCATTGCTTGCAACATTCCCAACACACATGCTTATAGCTGAATATTAATCACGTAACATGAGAGAAATCATTTGCATCAGTTTCTTGGTGTCATTCTAATGCAATTCGAGGCTGATTCATCTAGCGGATTTCAAAGGTGCTCTAATTACAAACGTACATCGGATAACTACTAAAGAAAAAATGGCTCCATTTTTTTTCAATAAATATAGCCTAGGGTAAATTCCAGGAACGCGACGCGTCTTTTCGTTTAATGCTAAATAGAAAAGCCAGTCTGCGTATGGTTTGTAGTGCACCACACCATCAGATCACAATTTTCAAGCAACAAATCAGGAACGTACGCAGGACTTTCCATCGCGGAGAGGGTGAGGCGTTCCTCAGCCAGTCCCTCTCCCGCGCCACAAACTAAGCTTCGTTTGTCAGGACCCTTTTGTTACACACATCAGTGTTTCATCTGCGGAATCTTACAGCGCGGAATTACAGAATTATTTCTTGTTATTGTGACTGACTTCTGAAATAATTGTTATATTATTAAAATACGCAAATGTAAATCACATGGCTAATTAATTCCTATTTGGCTTTTTGCTTTTTGCTTTTTGCTTTTTTCTATGACAACGTTATTGCAATTAGGTGTATATTACCATACCACAAAAACAAAGGAAAATAAAATTTAAACAGAGGATAAAATGTAACCACAATGTATACATTGTTTTATCATCAAAATTACCTTTTCTATCACATAATATGTACTGAAAGAGGTATTAAATTGTTGCCAGGGTAAACCGTATAATGGACCTGCTATATACAACTGTATCCACTTTTTTTGGTCTCCCCTCACCTTAGCAATAAAATGTGTATTAGAATTGTAACCTTGACGCGAAATTTTTATAGACGCTGTTTCTTGTTATGTTTAGCTGCATTAGTACTATACAGAGTGAGAGTCCTGTTACAGCCCCATTCCTCGGAAAAAGCCTTCCTCAAAGTCAAATTTAGGGGTACCCCAAGTTCACCCCTTCAGGGGTTCCCTACTACATTCATACCTTCACACAGGGACTGATGATCAAACAAACCAAAACCTCTGATATTCTACTTTCTCCTGTTCATATCATTCTGGTTCTTTTTGTGGCATTGCAAATGAAGTCTGTCTTCTTACTGAGTGTATTTTTTTGACCGGATTATGTGTTTTTGTGCACTTTTTGTAACAGTATATATATTTGATGCCTGCCGAACGCTTTTCTAGTGATGTTTTGCAAATGTTTGACGAGTCTGAGATGCCTGAACAGGCCATGGAAGAACAGGTGCTCGCTAATGAATTTCATTTCGCTCGAAATGATTTTGGAGAATGGCTGAATGTGCGTGGAAAATGGAGCCTTCCCAAAATGAAAACAAAGACAGTCTAATTGCCGAAAAAAAGAAAACAAGTGCATGGATGCTGTGAAAAAAGAAATGCAAGCGTTGGGCATGTATAAAGTTGAATTTGCACTTTCAGCGCAAATGACAAAAAGGACTGAAAAAGGTGAAATAACGCGAACAAAACACTATTTCAAAGACGACGATGGAAGAGTGTGTCATAATGCGAGCAAAGAAAAAATCAAGGAAGAATTCAAGGAGGTCATTAAGAAAGTAAAAAAAACAAAATTGAAGCCCGGATAGGAAATGAGCCTGATATCCATTTTGAAGAGATCGAAACGGCTTATGTGAATGTAGCTAGATTGGAACTGCTTGTTGCCAGAACATACATACCCCTCCCCAAAAAGCTTCAAGACAAAAAAGTGATCATCAATGGGCAAAACAGAAGAGACAATGGTCACTTTGAGCAGCATTGTTTCCCACGCCAAAAGGAAAAAATCCACCTGGGAACGACCAGTTACCCAGTAGACGATGAAATTAACTACGCAAGAATTAGTTTCCCAACGCCAATATAAGATATAGACCAGCTCGAAAGGCAAAAATGCAGAATTCAGAAAGCACGCAACAAACTATTTTCAAAAAAACTTCTACAAGCTCATGAACAATGCGGTGTTTGGTGAAACAATGGAGAACATGCAGAAACGCATAGACAGAAAAATAATTCGTAGTGATGAAAGGGGAAAGATTGCAAATTGATTACAAGCTCTTTGTTTACGGGGTGCACGCAATTCACAAACAACCTTGTAGGTGTCAGCATCCGCAGAGATAGGGTGAAGCTGGACAAGCCTGTGTAGGTGGGGATGTCAATCCTCAAAAATAGCAAAATCCTGATGTATGATTTTATTACAACACGCTCAAAACCCGGTACTGCGAAAAGTGGGAACTCGTCTACACCAATATGGACAATCTTTTGCTGGAGATTCAAACTGACGATGTTTACGAGGATGTGGAAGACAGCAAACATTTCTATGACACAAGCGGTTTTCCCAAAGATCATCCACTTCACAGCGCAACAAACAAAAAGGTTTTGGGCAAGATGAAAGACGAGATGAACGGAACGCCAACTGCTGAGTGTGTTTGCCTTGGGCCAAAAATTTACTCAATCCAGGCAGAGAAGCAAAACATCAAAAAGTCGAAAGGCGCGAAAAAGAATGTTGTGAAAAAAGAGATAAGGCATGTGCATTACAAAGAGATGCTTTTCAGCAAAAAACCACAAACTGAACATGCTTCACATCGAAGGGCATGAGATTTATGGGGTGCGGGTGAACAAAATCTCTCTGATTTACAAAATCTCTCTTTGATTCAAAGCGATATATCGCAGAAAACCGAATAGACACACGTGCGTATGGACACTGATTGACAGAAGAGCTTAATACTTACATTAGTGAGTTGCTGGAGGTTATTCTGAGTAAGGAGGCACAAAGCCTCGCTTGGGCCCATTTTGTAAATAGTAGAGAACAGGCTCTTTGGGAGTGCTGATAGATCCTTTAATGTTGTGGACCTTTAAAGACCAGGCAGGGTCTGTGGCTCTTTCACCCCACCCCTCTGCCTTTCAGCTCACCTGGTTTAGAGAGATATCTTACATTGACAAGGGTGGGGAGTTTTTTTTCATTTGCCCCAACAGGTCTGTGATAAGGAGTGGAGGGTTTTGCAGCAATGGTTTCTTCTTTGATGGCCTTGGTGGGTCTTTTGCCAATGAGACGCGTGACTTCATCATTCAGAGCAGAGACTACTTCCACAAGCCTTTTTACCCAAACTGTGGACCGTTGGCCTTCAGGAAGCCACATTTCAATGGCATATTGGTGGCCAAACAGGCGCCCTGCAAGGGTGCGGTTAAACCTTTCAATGATCGCCTAATCACAGGGGAGCTCAGGGCACCCATTTGGAATGTTTGGTTTTGTTTTTCCATTTCTTTAGTGGCAGTGCCCATGAATTCTCGGCCGGGGTCAACCTGAAGCCACTGTGGTCATTTCAAAGGGACGCATTAATAATTTTTTTGAAAACTGCTTGTAACTTCAGTAGAGTCTTTCAAGGTCAATGGTTCAGCTTCTTTGAAATGGCTGGCGATATCGACCACTGTCAAAGCACATTTGTAAGTCTTCCAGCCCTGACCATACCCTTGAATGTCATGTGATAAAAAAAGGTCTGCTTGATGAACTGCATTTGTCATGGGTACATCGAATTTGGGGCCAGGAATGCGCTTTGGGGCGGGAAGATGAATTTGCCAGGGTTTGCTTTATTACCCACTTTTTGGCAGCATCATCAGAGACTTGCTGCAGCGGCGAGCTTTTTGATTGCGGCAAGGCCTTTCCAGTATCCTTGAGGGCTGTAGTAGACTTTCAAAGGCTTGAAAATATAATGAAGATTAAGATTTGAAAAAATCATGAAAGTGGACACCCCCTGGGACACGTCTTCCCCTGAAATGCAAGAAAAAATTTTGTTTTGGAAATAGTTGCAGAGACAAGAGAAGAAATGAAAGAAGTTATGAATGAGTTGCTCATTTTCTTTGATAAAAAAATTGTGCAAAGGCTCAAATGTATGAATGATGAGTTTTGGTTACAAGAGATGTTATAGAAAATGAAAAGCGGCGTATCCAAGCGGAAGAGCACTTGTGCCAAAAAAAATTAAAACGCCCCTGTTTTTGCAGAGGGAATTGGTGGAAGTCAGAGAACTTTGGTTCCTTGGGCATTATAATTTGCGCATGTTGGTGGGCCTGGTTGTTCAGTTTAAAAACGTAGCCGGTGTTTCTGAAATTCTGCTTGGCCTGCTCTTTGATTTCGTGCCGGGTTTCGATCCAGTCAAGCAGCTTAGTTCGTTCTTTTTCATATATGGTGTAACTGGCTTTGTAACCCTCGAGAGATTCGTCATGTCTTCATTTTCCTTCAAAGGGAGCCTTTGAGGAATCCCCGGAGAGAAAACGAGCAAGATAATTGCTGCCAATGAAAGCAACAGCATTAAGAATAGCACCACCAGCCATAATAGCAACACTTGCCATACTATATATACACAAACCTTTCAAAATTAAGCGTTTTGTGGGAGTATTTTTTGATCCTTGAGGTACTGCTTCAGAGCCGTGTTTACCACCATCAAGACGGTGAACTTAACGTAGTTCATTGCATTGTTGCCACCAGCCATAATAGCAACACTTGCCATACTATATATACACAAACCTTTCAAAATTAAGCGTTTTGTGGGAGTGTTTTTTGATTCTTTAGGTACTGCTTCAGAGCCTTGTTTACCACCATCAAGACGGTGAACTTAACGTAGTTCATTGCATTGTTGCTGGGGTTAGAGGAGAAGTTTTCTTTAACAGCTTTTTTCTCCATGTCTGCAGCCAGGCAGGTAAGGGTTGTTGCATCGAGAACAGTTTTAACAAGCTTCTTGTCGGGCATCCTTATCTATTAAGTCAAAAAATTTCAATCTATCTCTCGAATGTGGACTCTTTTGGGAATCCTGGCGAGAGGGCCTGGAAAGTCTGCCTAGGGTTTCAGTGATTCATTTTTTTCTCGCAAAGATGACATGATGGCTTCATGACGGTAACAGATGCCCAAAGCAGAGACAATTAAACCACCAGCGCCAAGAATGAGGTAAATGTTGTTGCTGTTGTTTTGTTTTGTGGCATTTGGAGAATCAGCTGGTGATGCTGCTGATTTCAAGCGGGAGCTCGATTTTTTTGCTTCCCGAGCACGTGTTCTGCTAAGTTGTTTCCAATTGCAATTTGGCCAGGATCTTTTGCTGGCTTTGCTTCATTTACTTCAGTGGTGACAGCAGGTTGAGCAGGGGCGTGCTTTTCTTCAGTGGTGGTGTTTGCTTCCATGCTTATATAAAAAGTAAAAGATCTTGGAGAAGTTGTAAGGTTCTTATTCGTGTTTTTCAACAGGTTCTTTGTCAGGTTCTTTATGAAAATAAATGTGCTTTGCTAATAAGAGCAACATTGGCAATTGCATGCTGGTAGCTGCAGTGCAGTGCAGTGCAATATTTCCAGCCACAGATGACAATTTCGAGTTAATTGCGAAATCTTGTTACTTCTGCGGAGCGCGAAGTAAAGCATTCGTGATGCTCAGGAATGTCCCAAAAATGCTTTTTTTGGGACAAGATTGGGCACGCAAAATCTGTAGGTTTTCGGTTTTATTCGGATCTTTGACGAAGTGAGAGCCGAATTTGTTAGAGACATCTCGAGATCACTTCGATTTCTTTGGTTGCCAACGAGGCAACCGAGCTAAGAAGCGAGGTGCCTCGGCGGCAGATTCATAATCCCATGCAATGTCGGCAAAAACTCTCAAATTCTGCGTAACCCTCTAAAATTTGCCTTTTTGGCTATATTTGGGCGTAGGTAAGACCCCATATTTGGGTAGTAACGTCATGATCTTGTATTTACAACTCGTGGTTCGAAATTAGGTGATCCCCTGTGCAGCTGTTCGTTTTCTTTTCAAGAGGCCCTAGCAGGTAAGCGAGCTTTAATACGATTTCTTGTTTGAAAGGGCTATAAGTGCTCTGGTTTGCTTTATAAATTGCGTTTAAAGCAGCAGCTATCAAGGAATAGGCTTTTACGCTCCAATTTTTGTCAAAACCAGCTTGTTCTTCGAAGCTCGATTTACACTGAAGTACGTGTTCGCTTCTCGACTCAGAATCATGGTTTTCAGTGTTATTCTTTCCTTTGTAAATTGACTTCTTTGCAATAGTTAGTCAAGGAATAGGGTTGTATTCTCAATACGTTTATCAGAACCAGCGTGTTCGTCGCAGTTCGATTTACTTTGAGCCGGTCCTCACCTCCCGTGAGGAATGCAACGCATTTGAGGACCTTTTGTTTTTTAGAAGTTTTGTCTGCCTTTGGAGAGATTTTTGTCAACCAGCGTGTCTTTTTGCAGCCCTAAACTACCATGATTTGCTTACCTTTTGTTTTAATGACCATCATTATGAATCATTTTTCCTTTCGAGAGACTCTTTGTCCTGTGCCACTCACTCATTAGATCTTTGTATTTTATTCAAATTTATATTTTATACCTCTGGATACGTTCCGCCCCATTAGTGCGCTTTTCACACATTTTGCTTACATTAATTTTTTCTCATGTATATCACCATGCGGAATATTTTTCTTATCCCCGATGACGCAGTAACAAATAAAATTTTAATTTTAGCAGTCAAAGGCCTCACTTGAACTATATTTACTTTCTGTCGTTTATAGTTTTGAATTTCCATAGAATATAAGTGCTAACTTGCACCAATCTACCAACAGAGACATCAAAGCTTCAAGCGATTTTGTCGTTTTTTAATAGAAGTAAAAGCCTAGAATGTACCAAGGTTTTTTCTAAAATTGATTGCCATCCTTTTCTATAGCGATATCCATTGTAAACCTCTAAAATTATGTAACAAATCGCGAAGATCTGGATAGGCACAGTGCACAAAAGAGAAACGTACGAATTCGCCTCGTTGGCACTTGCTGGAAGGTACCCGTAGTTTATTCTTTAACTTATTCGAGGAACAAAGAATTATACTGGCTTTCCCGGGGTTTGAACTGACTCACCAGTGTTACCCGTCAGATCAGAGGAAACTCTAAGTTGAGGAATTAGCTGCGACTGCGCCACTGCGACCCAAGGTAGTTTGGGAAATGAAAAATAGCTATGAAATTATGCACCAGTTTCGCCTGCCCGTACAAAATGTTTTTTTTAGTAACCCACCCCCCAGTCTTTCTGATCGTGCCACAATATCGTCTCCTTTCTAAGAAGCGCTTACCATTTGCCAGAACTTGCCGACAAGATTGGGCGCGCAAGTTCGTGACTTTTCGGTTTATTTCGACTATTTCACAAAATGAGACCGGAATTGCTTCGAGATATCTTGAAATTTCTCTTCAAGTGTTGAAAAACATTTCACGAGTGAGCGCTCCTTTCGAACTGTTTTGTGATGAATTTAAAGTTACAAAATGTTGCACTTTGTCCTTGTTGAGTGTTACGTAGTAAAATCATGCGTTGCGTGACTTTCTCCAACGCTCTCTGCGTTTCTCTGAACAGTTAATTAGGGTATTTTACATTTCAGCATGAGTCAGCAGATTTGCGTCAGTCATTGAAATCATGAAATATGTTGATAAACTACTACTATTCGCCTGTTTAGTATTTTCTAGAACCTTATGTGAAACGGTATACAAGTTCCAAGCGAGTTGTTTTGACGAATTAAGTTTTTCCCACAAGCTGGAGTGCTGTGTTTAGTCAAGTGTGACGAAGGTCGATGTTCAAGTTCTGTGTTAACAAGTTGAAGAGGAAAATGTAATATTTGGCTCAAATTTGCAAGCACTTTTTGGGTTAATTAACCCAAAATTAGGGAAAAGAACATACATAGAACGCTTGATTGCGCCAACTAGGTATTTCATTCACCGTGATTTAATGTCAAAAACAGAAAATCTTCAAATCTTTTGGCTAAGTTCTCAATCCAAGGTAACCCATACAAAATGTTTAATCCCCATTGCCTTTGGGGATACACATTTGCATAGTTAAACTCTTTTTGTGAAAGATGAGAATGGCTCCCCAGTGGAATTTGAGTTGGAAGTAAATTGAAATTCTTACATATAGAATGTCCTCTTCGAACGTTGTTGCAAGTGCCCCACTAGAAAAGCTGTATCCGGAAGTGCCTGTTGACACTTTTCACCTGACTCGAATAACTGAAATTGAGAAACAAGTTTTCGACGGATCTCTACACTACAGGGCAGTTGCTAAAAAGCATAAGAAGGCACTAATGGCCTTGCACTATACCACCATTGGTCTGGGTTTTCTCTGCCATTCTTTCTGTCTCTGGGCCCTGAAATAGCTGTAGGCGCTCCCCTCGGCAGGTTGGCCGCTATCTCAGGTGCTGGTTCCTCAGTGCTTACTGGTCTTGGCAAAAAACACAGTTGGAATTTATATGAAAATTTACGACATAGCTTTTTGGTGAGTATTTCTCAGTATGTATATAATAAAATAAAGTCAATAATAAAATATATAATAAAATAAAGTCAACGCCGGACAACTGAAGCGGAAACAACGTTGAATTTAAAGTCCCTGAAGTACGTTTTTGTCTTCAATCAATTGCACCGCTCATTCTGGTTTCTATGTGAGAATTCAGGCTCATTTAAACTAATAGTGTTCCACAAGACTGCACCTCTATAGGCAAGGGAATCTTTCATATATCGAGTATTTTTTTAAACTGCGAATCGTCTCGCCTTAAGGAGTACCCGTTGGAGCGTTTAGAGTAAATATTCTTGGATAGTAATTCTGGCAGGGTCTCATTGTGCGCTTTATGGAAAAGCTTTAAAATATCCATCGCGTAGGGTAAATACAAAGTAGGCCAGTGGTCACGTTCCAGCACGTCACATGACGCCATGTCCTTGGGGAAGTTAAAAATATTTCTAGCTGCTCTACAGTGTTATCGTTCGATAGAACAGAACAAATCTGAATTACTGCATGCACCCCACAATATTAGGCCGTACTGTACAGGCGGTAAAATTGCTTTAAAATAAAGATCGTGTAAAACCTTTGTTGGTAAGAGCGTGCATCGTTTCAGTAAGTCTAATTTGATTGCAAAGTTCTTCTTGATTTCCCGGACATGCGGTATCTGCGTAAGCCATTCATCGAACGTCAAGCGTAGTAAGCGTGTTTTCGAAACCCATCTAAGATTAGAGCCTCCCAGGAGCGCCGGAGCAATAGGGCCGATTAGATTTCTCGTGCTGAGCAGCATTACTTCACTCTTACCGAGATGGGGTGTCAGCTGGTTGTTTTGCCACCAAGTATAAACTTCATGTAAAGCCTTGTTCAACTGTGCGATTGCCAGGTCTGTTTTGTCATCGGCGAACATATATAGCGACCCTGATTGGACCATCGATGCAAGTCGTTTGTAAATATGTTAAACAAAGTTGGACCCAATATGGAACCCTGAAGTATGCTTATAGTCACCAGCAGCAGATCTGACCTAACCCCATTTAATACTGTGAACTGTTGGCTTCCATTTAGATAGTTACTTAACCAGTCCAGTAGCGATTTTGTGATGCCAGTCTTTTCTCAGCTTCTTCAATAGAGTAGCGTGGGATACACTATCGAAAGCCTTTTTAAAGGCGATAAATGCTGCTGCCACAACCTTTCCAGAGTCCAGAGTTCTTCTCCACGTCTCCGTTAAGTGCGTTAGTAAGTATTCCGTTGAGTAGCCACTACGGTACGCCCAGTGTCTGTTTGAGCCCAGGTTGTTATCCTTGTAAATATGCCTTACTAGAATATCGTTGATCTCTGTTTCCAAGATATTGCTCGGGATAGTAAGTAAGGAGACCGGTCGATAATTTCTGCATTCTGTTTCGTCCTCTGTTTTAAATATGGGCGCAAGCCTTGCCGTCTTCCAAACAGAAAACACTCTTATTTTCGCTGCTGAACTGATAGAGTCACATCAGAGGTTGAACTATGGCGCTACCTGCAAGTTTTAAGAGTTTGAGAGTAATGTTGTCAGGGCCTGTGGACTTATTGGTTTTCAGGGCATTGACTTTTGTATGTATTGAGCGTTGCGAGATCACATGCTCCGAAGAGTGGAGTTTTGATACCCATATTTGTTGTATTTACTATTTGGGCTGATTGTGGAACATTATCGATGGACGGAAGTGCAGCTGCCAGCTTTTCGCCGATCGTGGAAAAAATATGAATTCATCAGATTAGATTTCTCCAGGTCGGTCAAGGCGAGAGTACCGTTGTCTCTTTGGAGGGGACCAATGCCCTGATGCGTTAACGGTTTTATTGCTTTGTTAAGCAAATTCCAATATGCGCAAGTTTTCTTGAACTCTGTAAATATTCAAGAGAAGTATGTGGCCTTGGATTTTCTCAGATCTGAGGTGACCTCATTTGTAGCTCTCTTATACTCTTGCCACAATTTGGGGCTTTTGGATGAAATGGCCTGTTTGAGTAACTTATACCTTCGATTCCTCTAAATTTGACTGCGTGGAAGGCTTTTTGGGGCTGTAACAGGACTCTCAATTTATATACTACTGCGTTCTTTGTTAAAGTGTTGGAATTAAATTGGAATTAAACAGCACTTGATATTTTACCTTATTTAGGTTGCCTCAAGGCTTCCAGAATTTATGTCACAGGTAACGAAAAAATAAAATAGTTAGCCTCCAAAGGTTCTGTTTTCAAACATCCATACTAGAAAATAGAAAAGCTGATGTTGAGGAAAGTCAGTGACATCTTTGCTGTTTTTCCGGCGCTTTTCTCTTTGCACTGTTCCCACTATCTTAACTCCCGCAACAGGCCAGGTTGAATCAGAGCGTGCTACGTCACTTGAACGAGGGACACCCCTGAAGGTATTCCGCAATCTCAAAACAGATATTTGGCCCTGGAAATTGTTATTTGCTTGTGGAATCTTCTTCTTTTGTTTTGTCTTGTTGTTATTTTTAATGAAAATGAGTTTTTAATTGAACATGTAATGATATTACTAAATGTATTTTTATCGGTGATCAGATGCAGAACCCTGAATTCCAGCAATCATTGGCTAATCCTCGTGTGATGCAAGCCTTGATGCAGATTCAGCAAGGAATGATGCAGCTGCAAAACGAAGCACCAGGACTTTTACCCCCTGGATCAGGCCCAATGAAGTTAGTTTGTCATTTGCTGGGTTAGGTTAGGTTTTCTTGCACTCCCTTGATGCTTTACAGCCCAACGCCCACCCCTGGTTTTTTGAAAGACAGTGCTTGATCGCGACGGTCTTACAAGATAGTAGGGAACTGAAAACAGTCTATTTGGTTCCAAATGTAGGATTTTCAGTTAGCAGTGCACGTCTAGATCGCACAAAATTCGACTGATTTCGAAGGTTTTTTTACCGTTGGTACATGATGATAACATCAATTTGTATTTGATGTAATATTTGTTAACTTTTAATGTAAAACCAGTAACTGGTTAAACCTTCATTGCAGTGTGACAAGGAAAAAGGTCAAAGAACCTTATTTTAATCAGAAATGCCGGAGAAATAATAACTGTAAACCGTGACGGATTCACATTATTGAGTTCCTCTGTCCCTCTGCTGTGGGTCTCGATAAACATCCAAGATGGGAAAGAGCGCCATATTTAAGGCTAACGTTCTTTTTGTTACAAATTTTGAGCGCAGAAGTATTGCGCTCAAGCGGCGAGAAACGAGAAATGTTTGAACAATTGAATTTAATAAACTGTAAATATTTTACAGTCCTTTCATGACTTGCATTACCAAGATTATCTTACGTTTGAAAGTTTCTCGATCATAGAAGCCTCTTAGATATTCTTTCATTCGTATGGATTTTATTTTAGTTTCATGGGAATTCCTTCAACTTCCACAACGACAACTGGCCCAGCATCTTCTACAGGCAACACCACATCCACACCGTCATCAGGTACAGGCTGGTTTACACATTTAATGAGTAGGTCCTGAACCCACTGGCTGCCGTGTCAATATATTCGAGTTGGTGGTATAATCCGTGTAGCTTGCGGCATTACTTTGTACATCTGTTAGGGGGAAGGGGGCGGGTGGGGACGTTGACCCTTAATTGTATCACCTAACCACCTTAATTTGTCATGAAATATAATATAGTGTAATTTGCCTCGTTACCTTCCTTTTGTGGCACTGTTGCTCGGTAATAACTACATGCATTAGTGTTTTCTGTCTATTTCTTTCTACAGGCACACCAGCTGGCACACAAAGGACGTCGCAGAATGGTACTCCTTCAGGTTCCCCGGGGAATGTACAAGGGAATTCTCAAGAAAACCAAATGGCACAACTGATGTCTCAAATGATGCAAGCTATGACTCAGGTTTGGTTTCACTTATTATATGCCTTCGGGTCTTGACCTTCTTGATGTTATTTGAAGTTCAATGGTTCAACACCTAGGGAATAGGTGATAGGTATTGTTCTCTCTTTGTAACATACTTTTACCAACCCATGTGGGAATATTTCCTCTAACTGATCTCTTAATCAGATTCTAAAAGGATTAATAGGTTGTCATCATGAAAGTTGTATAGAAGCCAATTACTTTCAGAACCTTAAAACGTTGTATTACAGAAGCGTATTATTTACGTGTCAGAACTCCAGGTATCTTGGCTGTCAGTGCTGGGTTTCTTAGCATAATGTCTTTTGGTTGTTTGCATTCAGCCACAGAACCCTGAAGTGAGATACCGAACTCAACTAGAACAACTGGCTCAGATGGGGTTTGTAGATCGCACACGCAATATACAAGGTAAGGCCTAGAAATTCAGCATTTGTCACGTTTTGTCTCTGGAATGTAATTCGAGGAATGTATTGAGCTTAACAGTCTATCAATTGTTTTGTATTTCTCTTTTCAGCCCTGGTTGCAACTGGTGGTGACTTAAATGCTGCCATTGAACGGCTTTTACAGTGATGACCTTTTTCACTCCTGCTTGTACCCATATGAGATGGTTATGGAAATTGTATAAGAAAATGTTTTAGCCCTAACCATAGGGCATTATCAGAAGAATTCTTCGTCAATTATTCTGAGCAAACAGTGAGGCAACTTGCGGTCAGGCTTCTTTGTTTTTCCTCTTAATTTTTTTTCTTGCCGTAATTTATTCCCAAAAAATGACAACATAGAAAAATGAAAATGTTCATTATTACAAAACGAAACAAGAGCGCTGTGAAAATAGGCACAAATTGCGCATTTACTGTTGCGTAGTTAGGATGAGAGTCATTCCGAGGCTTTCACTCGAAGATACAGCACTGTTAATGCCAGAGAAGTAAGCCATCACCTGAGACAAGCCCTTCTTTTTGTGAATGACCAGCATACAGGCTCAGTTTCCGGTTTTCTAAGTATTTCACATTTAATTACAATTATTCGGGCTTCTCTTGAACCGCACGGTTTTGTTGTTTTTGTCTTTTTGTTGAATATTATAATTTTATTGAAACTAATGATATGCAAGTATTGTACCGAATTGAATGCAGCAGCCCAGTGACGGTTAGTCCTGGGAGGATTTCACAATCAACTGCTTCAGGACCGGTGCTCTAATTTTGTAACAACTCAAAGGTAATGAGTAAGATTCGTGTTCACAGAAATTTTTATACTGAACAGTAGTAGAGAGAACTTGAATGAGAACTTGATTACATCAGGAAATTTGCTAACTAGTGGATCAGCACCTAACTACTCTATTGGTATAACTTAGAACATTGGTTTTAAATTAAAACCTCTCGGTCAGAACCATCGCAATTGGGTACTGCTTTTACCAGGTTTAATTTGTAATCATTGCGGAGTAGAACATCGAAAGTCATTACAATATCAAGGCTATTCTATCTGGTTAACAATAAAACCAACTTTAATCTTAAATATGACCGTTTTTACTAGTAGGGTATGCGATCGTCCAGAGTTTTTCGCCTGCAGTACACTCTAAGTACTGGGTCAGTGGTTTTAAACGGGTCTGCAGTCATTGGTTAGATCACCGAGAGTCTGGATCCAAGTAAGTCGCGTAGGATCGTGCGTGGACGGGGCGTCAGGGACAGGGCTGAATAACGTACTGCGTATGTCCGTGACATCACTTGTTTACCAAGCTTAGCCGCACGGGG